CTTTTTTCCCTTCCCTCCCTCCCAATAGTATCCTTTAAAAATATATTTAAAATAGATTTTTAAATTTGTACTGCTTTGCGAAGAATAAGCGTTAGCAACCTAAACTTTTGGCTTGTTATAATCACTAAAAAGTTTACTTTTTAAGACTGTTTAGCCTCTTTCAATAAAATGTTATTCAATTTTAAATTTAAGCTTCACAATTTTTAGTAATAAAATAGTATTCTAACTTAATGTTGTGTTTTTGGCAGGTCACAATATATTATCCACATGATGAGAGAGGTTTTCCTCTTGCCGATAGACCACCCTTACCTACTGACAACATTTGTAGGTACAGCTTTGACAATTTGCCAGGTATGCATTTGCCAAGGAATAAATTTAGATAATGGATTCGTTTGGTTTGGGGTTTTTTTTCTTTTTTTAATTAATTTTATATTGGTTTGTTCACAAAGTTCATATACATTGTTTCATACTATTTTTCTTTTATATTGTGTTTCATACAATCATTCCCATGTATTATGTTTTAGAAAATTAATAAGGACAATGGGTATTTATATAAACTGTATACTTAATATGATAAGTTGTAAACATGTTGGCTTCCTTCAGGCTATAGATTATATGCAGGTATCTGAGCAGATGTGATATACTTTATGAATCCAGTGTTTATTATTCATATTGTGTTGTAATGGTATTTTATCCCATTAATTTAAGTAAAAGCTAAAATATCACAGATAAAATTTATGTACTTAGCTATTTATTCATTTGTTACAATGTTAAAATGTAACATGAAATATCCATGTTTTGACTCTTTGAATCATTGCTGTGCTACCTAAATAATCATTTAAAATGTTGCTAACAAATTTGACTCCTAATTAAGTTTTACAGATTAAGGAAATTAGTACCAAAAAATAAGATACACTAGAAATAGACAACAAAAACATATCTAACACTATTAGAAATCAAATCTATTGTAGTATTAAATACCATAAATTATAACAATTACAGAGAAAAACAAAATTCTTTTTTCCTGCAAATTAGGAGTACAAAACTTTATACTTTACTATCATAAAAAGAGCTGCTTTTCTTTTTCTGAAAGTCATTTGATTCTGGAAAGGTAGAAATCTATTAAAATTTTCCTGCATTCCAGAGTCAGTAATTAAAGGAAAAGACTTTCAAAATATCATGGTACAAGTTAGCGGATGTTTTTAATAACATATTTCTTAATAATTTTATTATGCTGTCTTTAGTTTCCATTGTTATTAATAAACTTATATTTTTTATTTTGTTGATTTTTATGAACTCATCCCCTGAAATGTTTAAGAACAAGTAGAAATATTAAGCTTTTATGGAATGTGCACATCAACAATTTCTTCCTTATTTTAGGTAATAATATGCTTTTTTCTCCCCCCACATTTGTCACTCTAGAAAAGTACTGGAAAAAATACCAATATGCTTCCAGATTTGTTCAGCTTGTAAGATCCAAATCTCCCAAAATCACTTACTTTACAAAATATGCTAAATGTATTTTGATGGAAAATTCTCCTGGTGCTGATTTTGAGGTTTGGTTTTATGATGGTAAGTACTATCTAAGAATGGTAATTATTTTCACCCCTATTTAGTTTAATAATTGTTTGTTTGTGTTTAATACAGCAACTATATAATATATAATATAATATATATACATATTATCTATATAGTATACTATTTATCAAATCATATTAACTACCATTTTGTTTTATAATACTTTCCTGAAAATAGTTTATCCTATAGTATGTATGTTAGTTTTCATTCCACATTTGGCTGAAGTTTAACAGCAACTACATTAATGGTCCAAAAAAGCACATTAAATAGATAACATCTTACTTGAAACTCAAATGGACATGTGCCAAATTATGAGAATCATAACTATGGCAGAAGAATAGATTGATACTTACCTGTCAGGGAAAATACCACGATCACAAAGGTGGTTTTCCCAAGGTGAGGTTTATTTGTTACGCTCCAGATGTGCTGACCCTTGCAGTTTCTCCAAATATGGGAAACTGGTCTTCATGATTTGAAGTAATGAGGACTATGTTTGTGCTTCCCCTGGTTAAAAAAAAAAATTGAACAAAAGCATCTTATTTTCCAAAGATATTCTAGAAAGTTGATTAATCTGTAAAACTCCCTGTTTTAGGGAACATATTGTACGTGTATCAATTATATTTTTGTATGAGAGCAGTAACTTTAAAAAAAAAGAAAAAGTATTGGACTTAAGCCAGAGAGATGTTGAAAAGAAGGTATATATATGCCCTCTATTTATGGAACAGTTTGAGAATCTGATTAATGGTCAGTAAGTGAATATAAATGGTACATTCATTTAGGAACCATAATGTAATGGTATGAAAATAAATCTAGATATAAGAAGATTTAAAGAAATGACAAAAGAATCATTTTATGCTTATGATTTAGGAGCAAAAATACACAAAACAGAAGATGTAATTCAGGTGATTGAAAAGACTGGGAAATCTTATACCTTGAAAGGTAAAAGTGAAATCACTAGCTTAAAAGAGCAAATGAAAGTGTATCTGGACCATGCTAATGAGGTAGGCTAACTTATATATAGCTTTTATACAAGTAATGATTATAAAGTATAGGTGAAATAATAATGGTAATCACTTTTCTGAAATAGGGTCATCGTATTTGCTTAACCCTGGAATCTGTAATTTCAGAAGAGGAAAAACGAAGCGGAAGTTCTCCCTTTTTCCCAATAATTATAGGAAGGTAAATGTTTGGAAATGTTAGCAATATGGCTAAGTTTTATAGAATTTGTTTAAAAAAATTCAGTATTTTTATTGTGAACATCTTCCAGTTTTCTGTGAATTGAAAACTTTAATTGAACTTTTCTTTTTCTTCAGAAAACCTGGCAATACTTGTTCATCTACGTCCTTAACACCTCCTCCTGTGGATCCAAATTACCCAGTGAGAGATATACCATCTTCAAATGCAGTTATCATGAATAGTGCTACTTCTTTAAAACAAGGACCAATACTTAATCCTTCCGAAGTAAGATGTGAAACTTTTTGTATTTTTAAACCCTCAGTGATTGCTCTTGGTTTTACGTGAAAATGCCTTAACTTGAAAAGGCCTTAACTTTTATGTATTTATTTTTCCTGTTTTATCCTAATCCACTTTACCTTACGCTTTCTTTGCTTATATAAGTTCTTTGAACAGGTTTGCTACATAGTTTGTCCTAGTTCTTATGGTTAATTCTTTATATAATCTTTCAGGTCTTGGGCTGTTTTTTGTTTATTTTGCTTTTAAATGATGTTTTATTGTGCTTATGGTGAAAATTAAAACTGCAACACAATTGGTAGCATATTTTTCCAGTGTGTCAACATGCTGTTTAATTGCATTCTGATTGTTCTGTATCCAGTGCTACATAGTTCCTCTGTACCCTATCTTTTCATCTTTTCATCTTAGACTGTTAATCTTTTTTTTTTTTATTTTATTTTTTTATTATTATTATTTTGTGTGCGTGTACCGTCAGATCAGATCTGACTGGTACAGGAGGATATTGCGCCTCCTTCTCCGGCAGAGCATCTGGTGGATTCGAACCGTGTTCCTCTGGGATTGCAGTGCAGCTTCTTGCCACTAGGCCACCAGAGCTCCCCAAGACTGTTAATCTTTTGATGTCATATAAATGTTTTTAAATGAAGCACCCATAGTTTGGGTAAGATCCTTTATTTTATGTACCAGTCTATTATTTTACTAAAAGGTGACTTTGAGATAGTTTTGTTTCAAGGACTAAAGAATGTCTTGAATGTCTTAGGATGTTCTTTAGTCTCAACTGGTTCAGTAAGTCTGGACAAATTTTTGTTCCACATTTTTCTCCCATTCTATCAGGATACATCTATTGTGGCTTTGGTTAGAAGTTCTATCCAGGTACTATCCAGTGCTTTTGGTCTCAGGGTAGATGAGGCCGTGGCTCATATTACCCTGTAGGCTTAATTTTTTTTCTCTGAGATTCTCTTTTTTCTCCTAATGAGAAAATAATTATTTTAGCTATTTAGATCTAAAATATTACCCCTTTGGGGTAATATGTTGTTTCATTTTCACTAATAAACATTCTGTGCTTTTAAATATCCTTTGCAGATACGTGGTTAAATAAACTTATTTCTGTTTTACTCAGTGAACTCATGATAGTAATGGCTAATGTAAACTAGCGGTGTGGAATAATTTAACTTTAACGTGTGTATTCACACACATATACTGTGATTAGCAATATGAAACAATTACACCTCGAGGGAAGATGATGAAGGGAGCAGAAAGGAAGCTTTGATTCTTCTCTCACCTCTATATTTTTCTCGGTTTTGGTAGTGTGATTTTAACTCGCATTAAAAGTTTTTATTTTCAAATGACTCTTTAAGCTAATGAAAATTGTTTTCCACTTTTGGTGAAATTGACTTCTAAAAATGCTGAATAATAATGTCTTCCTGTCCTTTACTATTTATAGATGGTTACAAATGAAGAACTTGGCCTTGCCGCTTCTAGAACCGATATCTCTTCTGGTAGCATAAAAGATTGTCTTCCTAAATCAGCACAGCTTTTGAAATCTGTATTTGTGAAAAATGTTGGTTGGGCTACACAGGTAAGAAGTGTCTAGAAAAAGGAATTTTCTCAAGTCTGAATTTCCTTTTTTTCCCCCCACAGCAAGATAATGACCACAAGATAGAAATTATTTCCAATATTTTTTTTCCACAGGAAAATGCTTATTCAACATTGTTAATATAATTTAAATAAACATTTTAATCTATTTTTTTGGACACACTTAGAAAATTCTACATGTTGATAACAGATTGTTAGATGTTGTTGTTGTCAGGTGCCATTCAAGTCGAGTATGACTAATAGTGACCCTGTCCTATCCTGTGCCATCTTCACACTTTCTGACACACTGTAACCCATTGTGGCAGTCACTGTGGCAGTCCACCTGGTTGAAGGTCTTCCTCTCCTTGTGGACCCTCCATCCTTCCAAGCATCATGTCACTCTCCAAGGAATAGCCCTTCCTAGCTACAAACCCAAAGTATGTGATTTGAAACCTCATCATTCTTGCCTCCTGAGAGCACTCTGGCTGTAATCCTTTCCAAGACATGTCTATTCATTATCTTGGGCATCCATGGGATATTCAGTGCTCTTCTCCAACACCACAGCTCAAAGGCATCAATTCTTTTTTTATCATTTTTATTCATTTTCCAGCTCTCAGATGCATAGCAAATAATCTGAAAGACAGTGGCCTTAATCATACATACTTTAGTCTTCAGACTGACATCATTACTCCTCAGTAATTTGGAGAGGTCCCTAACTGCAGATTTTCCGAGTGCAGTGCGTCTCTTTATTTCCTGACTGCTGGTACCTATGGTGCTAATTGTGGATCCAAGTTAAGATGAAGCTGTTGACAGTTTCAGTCTCCTCTCCATCCATCATGATGCTGCCTATTGGTCCAGTGGTAAGAATCTTTGTTTTCTTGACATTGAGACGCAATCCATGCTGCATTCCTGATATTCTGCAACATGTGGTTAGTCCTCACTTTGAGCGAGCAAGGTTATGTCATCTGCATAACACAGGTTATTGACAAATCTCCCTCCAATCCTTATACCACACTCCTTCATAGAGTCCAGCTTCTCAGATAATTTGCTCAGCACAGGTTGAATAGATATGGCAAGAGAATACAACCCTGGTGTACTCCCATCTCATTTTTAAACCATGCAGTGTTCCCCTGCTCTGTTCACACAACAGCCTCCTGGTCCAGGTTTAGGTTCCACATGAGCACAATTAAGTGCTCTGGGATTCCCATTCTTCTCAGTGTCAGCCACAACTTGTTATGATCCAGACAGTTAAATGCCCTTGTAGAAACAATAAAGCACAAATAGACATTATAGTAATTGGAAAATACGAGCTGGTGATGGAAATGAGTTTGGAAATAGAATGATCTTATTTTGTATTTTCAATGATTTATTCATTGTAAATACCTTTTTTAAAAGACAAACAACTTTACACCTGATAGGTGGCGTATAGGAATCAGATTGACTACATCTATGGAAGAAATTATTGGAGAAGCTCAGGGGTAGACTATGGGACAGACCATTAATTACTTATATGCAAGTTCAATTTGAGGCTGGAAAAAATTAAAATAAGTCCACAGGAACCAAGATAATAATCTTGACTCAATTCCATCTGAATTTCAAGATCACCTTAGGAATGGGTTTGAGGCACTGAACACCAATGATCAAAAACCAGGTAAGTTGTGGGATGAGTCAAGGATATTATCCATGAAGAAAGCAAAAGATCATTACAAAAACAGAGGAGAAACAAAAAACTAAAATGGATGTCAGAAGAGACTAAAATTGCACTGGAGCATTTAGAAGCCAAAACAAAGGAAAACATGCCGAAGTAAAAGAGCTGAACAGAAGTGTGTTAAATTAGGCCTCTAAAAAGAATATGGGGAGAGCTTGACGCTGTCAGACGGCTGCCACCATGAAGTTCAACCCTTTCGTTACCTCGGACCGCAGCAAGAACCGAAAATGCCACTTCAGTGCCCCTTTGCATGTGCGCAGGAAGATCATGTCCTCCCCTCTGTACAAAAAGCTGCGGCAGAAGTACAACGTGCGCTCCATGCCCATCCGCAAGGATGACGAGGTGCAGGTGGTGCGAGGACATCACAAAGGTCAGCAGATTGGCAAGGTAGTCCAGGTGTACAGAAAGAAGTATGTCATCTACATCGAAAGAGTGCAGCGTGAGAAGGCTAATGGTACCACAGTGCATGTGGGCATTCACCCAAGCAAGGTGGTTATTACCAGGCTGAAATTGGATAAAGATTGGAAGAAAATTCTTGAACGTAAAGCTAAGTCTCGGCAAGTTGGAAAAGAGAAAGGCAAATACAAGGAAGAACTAATTGAGAAAATGCCGGAGTGAATGCAACCTGAGAAGCAACCGCAGTTTAACTAGATTTCCATCTGAGTATGCGTTCTTGTGATGTTCCAAAATGACCCTCTCATTCAGAAGTGATTATAATTACAATTTTGATTCCTATTTTTAAGAATAAAAATTGGAAATGTTTTCCAAAAAAAAAAAAGAATACGGTGTCCTGGAGGCCTCATCTGACCTCTACAACTCCATAAGAGAAAACAATCCCCATCAGCAACATTCACAGCACATAACTTACTTCCACGGGGTTAGACATATCCCTGCTTTCATGTCAACGTCTGCCAGTACACCAGCCATATATCCTAGGGCTCTCTTCAGCAAGGACAGCTTGTAAAGCACAGGCCCTTCAATCTTTGGTCTCTGTTCTCTACTGTAACTGCTTCTGTTCATATGTGTCCCAGTCTAACTGATGTTTCTTGGTCTAGTTTAAAGCCTTTTGTTTTCTTTTGTTGAAGTAGAAGCAATATGGAAGGCTCTGATCTATAATCTTCATCAGCAGGTGTGTCAAGACCTATTCTTGATGATACAAGCAAGGTTGTGTCATCTGCATATCTCACATTATTAATAATTCCTTTAATCCTCATCCAGAATGCTTCTGGGATTATTGTGCTCACATTTGGGAAAGTGATGAAAGACCTCTACTTTGATCTTTTCTGTTTCCATACAATATCCCCTTAATCTGTCCTAGATACTGCTTCTTGGTCTATGTACAGGTTCAATATGAGTGCAGTTAAATCCTCTGGAATTTCCATCCTTCTCAATGTTATCTAAAATTACGAGAGCAATAAATTGACAGTGAACTGCTAGAAGTTCAGTCTGGGTTTAGAAGAGGCTGTGAGAGCAGGGATATCATTGCTGATATCAGATAGATTGTAGATAAAAGTAGAAAATAGGGGAAGAATATTTGTGGTTTTTGGCTGTGTGAATCATAATAAATTTGTGTAACATTGAGAAGAATGGGAATCTCAGAACACTTAATGATGCTCATGTGAAACTTAGATCTAGATCAAGAGGCTGTTGTGTGAACAGAGCAAGGTAACACTGCATGGTTTAAAATCAGGAAAGCTGTATGGCCTCTCCCTATACCAGTTTAATCTCTTTGCTGAGTAAATCATTCAAGAAACTGGACTATGTGAAAAGGTATGTGGCATTAGGATTGGAGGAAGACTCATCAGCAACCTGCATTATGCAGATGACACACCTTGCTTACTGAAATAAAGGAGGACTTGAAAGACTATAGCCATAATATTAATTACATCTCAACATCAAGAAAACAAAAATTCCCATGAATGAGCCAATAGGCAATATCATGATAGATGGGAAAAAGGATTGAAACCATTGAATTTGTCTTACTTGGATCCATCAGTCAAGGAGATCAACAGCAATGCTTGCATTGGTAAAGTCTTCAATCAGGGACTTCTCCAAACATCTGAGGAGCGGTGATGTCTGAAGATTAAGATGCACCCGACTCAGGCCAGTCTTTTCAATCACTAGCTGTGCTGCCGAGGGCTAGATCATGAATATGGATAACAAAAGAAGAACTGATACTTTTTAAGTGTGGTGTTGGCGAATAGTACTGAATGTCCCTTAGATGACAAAAAGAACAAATCAGTTTGTCTTGGAGAAAGTATAGCCAGAGTACCCTTTGGAGGCAAAGATGACAACGCTTCATCTCACATACTTTGGGCCTCTTGTTAGGGAGAGGCTATTCTTTGGTGAGGGACATCATGCTTAGAAAGTTGAAGAGTTGGTGATAAAGAAATTGATTGACATAGTTGGCTATTTCAGTGGCTCAAGTATGTTGGAGATGATGATGATGATGGTACAGTGTAGGATAGAATTCAGATCTTTTCATAAGGTTGCTGAGAATAATACTCGAAAACATTTAACAGCAATCTTATCCATATAATTCATTATGGCCATTACAGTCAAATGCCTTTTCATAGTCCATAAAATCCTAATACACTTCTTTCTGATATTCAGTGCTTTCAAGATCATCTAACATCAACAATAATACCTATCATTTCACATTCTCTTTTTGAATCCTCTTTTGGAATTTATGCCAATTTCTTGATAATACACTGTTGCATGCATTTTAAAATTCTCTTCAGCAGAGTCTTGTTTGTATGTGATAATGATGATACTGTTTGGTAATTTCCTTATTCTGTTGGATCACATTTCTTTAAAAAGGGACACAAAAACTGCATAAGACAATTATTGTCAAAATAGAAGGTTAACTAGTAAAACACATGGAAACCCAAGGAGGGAATGGGTGGAAGTAGAGCGGTGAAGATGAGTTTGGTCGAAACCACAGGGTTGCACAGTTTGGTGGATGGAGGGAGCAGGGGAAGGAACTGAGAAGGATCCAGGTGAAGAGACAGGGTAATGATGCGCAAGGTTCAGTGATGAGAATGATTGTATAAAACACAATATGAATGAGGAATAGTATGAAACAATATATACGAACTTTGTAAGCAAAACAATAAGGAAAAAAGGAGGACACATAAACACTAAAGAATGATAAAGTATTTCATCAAACTGCACAACAGATAAAGCTACAGGAAATTATGCTGAGTGTGACATAAGTCAGTCATAGTGCAAGAGAGGAAGACCCCCAATGATTCAGTCACTGAGGTAAGGGAGTAGGTGTGTCGGAGACATAATTGGCACAAGATAGAGCAGGGTATAGGGCTATTGTACATAGGATCTCTGTGAGTTGCAGGTAGCTCAACAGCACAAAAACAACAGAGCTATTAGGTTTTTTATGGCCACTGTTTTAAAAGCTAAGGAAAAATTTACATAATTATTCTTGGGTGGTTACCAGGGATGGAAAGAAGTAGGGGGGAATAAAAGTTAATAAATAGGTTAAGTTAAATCAGGGCAGTATAAAATAAGGAGTTGATCTACTGTTCATTCCCATCAAGTTGAAACTGACTGAACTGACCCTCTAGCATGTTTTTGAGACTGTGAATCACAGAGAAGATTGTTCATCTTTCTCCCACGAAGCAGTTGATGATTTGAACCACCAGAGAAATTGGGCCTTTGGATTAGCAGCGCAGCTCCCTAAAGACTATGCTACTAAGCTCAGACCTTATAATTAATTACATCGTCGTCATTGTTGTTAGGTGCCATTAGATCAATTGTGACTCATTTGTAATTAATGTTATAAAACGTGAGTGATTTAAAAATCAATGTGATTTGTAAACTTGCACTCAAAAAAAGAAAAAGATCACAAATTGGAAATTGTTCCTATCAGTTGGCCAGCTACATATCTTCCAAATATGTTGACATAAGTGCATGGGTGATTCAAGTGTTGGATTTGTTTTGGGTATTTCATCTGTTCTTGGAGATCTATTTTTCAGTAATGCTTTCAGTACAGCATGGATTTTTCCCCCCTTTAGTATCATTGATTCTTAATTATAAACTTCCTTCTTAGATGGTAGCAAGGCAGTTCCTTACGGCATAATGAATTCTTTCTACCTGTATTCCTCTATCTTTTTTTGATGTTTTCATCTGTCATTTAAATTTTTTTTTCTATATAGGTGTTCAGTATTGCAACTCTGGGCTTAAATTTTTTTTTTCTTCAGTTCTTTCAACTTGGGAGATGCTGAGCTTTTACTTCTCCTTGGGTCATTGCATGAGAATGGTTTTATTCTGAAGCTACCCTTTGAAATCTTCAGTTCAACTCTATTATTTCTTCCATCTGCTTTAGCTTGTGTAAGTTTTAGAGCAAATGTCGCAATCTCTTCTGACATCAATTTTGAGCTTTTTTCTGTCTTGTCTTTTTTATTTCTTAGTGTGTGATGTCCTTGTTGGCATCCACAATTCTGGTCATTTGTGTTCGGTATTTCATATCTGTTCTTGAACTGCTGTCTAAATTAAAGTGCAATATGCGTCAGGTTGTATTTTGACTGTCATGGATTTGAATTTTCTTAAGCTCCAACTTGAACTTGCATGTGAGCATTTGATGATCTGTTCTGCAATCAGCCCATGGCATTGTTCTGATTGATGACAGCAAGCTTCTCTGTGGTCTCTTTCCACATTTGAGTCCTGAGTATTATACCCAGCAAAGTAAAGTTTATTTGAATCCCAACCCACTGCCATCAGGTTGATTCTAATTCTGATTCATAGCAACCTTTTAAGACAGAAATGTCCATAGAGTTTCTAAGATTATAATCTTTACTAAAGCAGACTCTTTGAGATTTCTCTGGCAGGAGATCAGGTAGGTTCAAACCACCAAAACTTTCAAGTTGATTTAGCCCAGTGCTTCATTCTCTGATCCAATAGAAATCTTTCATCTGTGTGAACCTAACAAAAAACCCTACTGCCATCCAATTGGTTTCCACTATGGCTACCATCCATCAGTTTTCCAAAGCTGTAAATCTTAATGGGTAGTGACTGACTAATCTTTCTCCTGTGCAGCAAGTTTTGTATTCGAACATCTAGCCTTTCATGTAGCAGGCTGGCACATAAAGCATTAACTATGTCGCTGGGGACCCTCTCTATGTGTATTGCAACAGTTTATTGTGAAAAGGCATTTTGAATTAATAATTCACTGGTCTCACAAAACTCTGTGACGTGATCTCTGGTGTCATTTTTATTGCCAAACTCATTTTCCAAATGCCCATCATCCTCCTGTTTCAGCTTTCACTTTTAAATCACCAGTAATTTAGCAATGCATTTTAACTGTATGTTTGATCAATTTCAGACTGTAGGAAGTTGGCGAGAATCTTCCATTTCTTCATCTATGGCATTAGTGGTTGGTGTATAATTGAATAATAGCTCTCTTAACGGGTTTTCCTTATAAGGGTATGGATATCATTCTACTAACAGGGGATCTCTTGTGGCTTAATCTCTGGTGGTAAGGAGTTGCACTGCATTAGTTGCTCCACAGAGAAATAGGCAGTCATGTCATTTTTTCCCTCTGCTGGAAGATCAGCCAAGAGTCAGTTCCAGCTCCTTGTGCATGACAACAGTAGGTTGTAGTTCAAACTAGATCTTGAGATGTTCTTTATGACAATAAATTTCATATAGTTCCAGTTCAATTTGCCATTTCTGGCATAGTAAACTATCTGATTGAGTCAAATACCAGTCCATTTTAGCTCACTGGTGCCTAGAATATCACTCTCTAAGCATTCTGTTCATATTTGACAGCTTGCCGTATGTTTCAAGTCATACTTTAATGTTCTGTTTGGATTATCAGTTAAATGCAGCTGGTTCTTTTCTAGTCTTGTCAAATCAATAAATGGCAGTATTCCATCCACCTAATTAAGGCTGACTCTTTCTTTGAAAGGCAGCTCTTGTCCAGTTGTATTTTGAGTTTCTTCTAACCTGAAGAGTTCATCTGGTACTGTGTCAGACAAAGCTCTGCAACTATTACTAAGATTTCTGTAAGTCAGTTTTTTAAAAAACCTTATCTCCAGGTTCCTCCTAAGCTGTCAAAGTGTGGAAGCTAAGCTGAAACCTGTCTACCTTAAAATGCCAGGGACATAACTTCCAATATCCCAGCGATGTATAAGCCACCATAATATATATGACAACTAACTGGCAGACAAGTGTTGGTACAGTCTTTTTCTTAGCAGTGGAGAGTTTGATAATAAATCCAGGTCTGTTGATTCCATTGTCCTTTGTTCCCTTCTAAATATCAGTATCATGGGGATCAATTTGAAAAGCTGAAAGGTAAAGTTCTTAGGAACAGAGAACTTTAGTGGTCTAAGGACAGAGAACAGGGTAAATTTCTGTTTTAAGAAAATGTTGCTGCTGTTTCTTAAATTTCTTAGTATGTGAAAAACGGAAAAGACTCCAATTAATAGATAGGATACAGAATTTATATAGAAGATTTTCTATTTTCATATAATGCCCTAGCTATTAAAGGATTATTCAGAAAAAAAAGAATATGAGTAGTCTCAATGCTATCATCATAGCCTCAAATATATAGTCAATAATAAAAGAAAAACCTGAAAGTAGTTTATTGGTTTTAGTGATGTTAAGCATGAGTACTTTTAAGGACCTGAGACACTCTAACAACTTTTTATGCTTGTTCTTTTTCTAGTTAACTAGTGGAGCTGTGTGGGTTCAGTTTAATGACGGATCCCAATTGGTTGTACAGGCAGGAGTGTCCTCTATCAGTTATACTTCACCAGCTGGTCAAACAACTAGGTAAGTTCTTAAATGATTGTGAGATTCCTTTGCTATAATTTGCTTGCCCTGTATGTTGAAGTCAATGATTTAATAAAGTTACTATTTTGATAATGTTCATGCTGTATTTAAAGCATTATTTTTATCCATTTACAGTCTTTTTAAATTTATATTTTGCTTTTGACGCAGCGCGAGGGCGACGCATACTTTAATGCAGGGCAAGTGTGATAGTTCATCCACTCCAGGTGGTTAAGATTCTTTGTGGCCTTATTACTCCAGAGCCTAATTAGATTAGATATATGATTCCTTTTCAGAAGTCATGTACTTCTGAATTCAAAGTAATATTGACTTAAAAAGTTGATTGCCAGGGGAACTCTGGTGGCCTAGTGGTAAGGAGCTGCAACTACAATCCCAGAGGCACACGATTCAAATCCACCAGATGCTCTGCCAGGGAAGGAGGGACAATCTCCTTCTGTACCAGTCAGATCTGATTTGACGGTACACTCACACAAAAATAATAAAAAAATTTTTTAAAAAGTTGATTGACTTAAAAGGACTTAGAAATAAAGAATCTTTGTTTGAAGAAAAAGACTATTCTGCCAGAAAGCAATTAATGTTTTAAAAGACTTTGATGAATGTATATGTTCATTCTATATGAAAATGTGTGCCAAACATGATGGTAAAAGTGAGTATGCTGTCAATGGGGATAAGGTATAGTTTGATTTCTACATTGCAGTACATAGCTTTCTAAGAGAAATGTAATACTGATAATACAACATGTTACTTGATAAGAAGTATTTATATAGTAAATATTTGACAAACACAATTTACCAATATTTAGAAATTGGATTTTGTTAAATATATATATACACACACACACACATGCAGTGCTCTAAAAAACAAAGAAAAACTATTCTTCTGATGAGAAGCTTTCTTAGAAATTATTTTTAAAGACTAGAAAATGGAAAGATATAAATATTAAATGATTAGAGCTAGTATTTCAGGGGTAACTCTTCAAATTTTATTTAGGTTGCTCATTCAAAAATTGTCAACATTTTAATAAATATAGATCCAGAATTATACAGCTTAGAATTTATTTTCTAATTAAGACCTTTTTTTTATTAAATTTTATTAGTTTTAATGAACATTTACAGAGATTTTGGGTTTTCATTCATTCATTGTTGCACTGTTTGGTTCAACATAAGGAAAACAATTAATGTAATTCATCACATCAACAAGGCAAAGAACAAGAACCATATGGTCCTATCAATTGATGCAGAAAAAGCCTTTGACAAAATCCAACACCCTTTCATGATTAAAGCACTCAACAAAATAGGATTAGAGGGTAATTTCTTCAACATAGTAAAAAGTATTTATGAAAACCGAAGAGCCAACATTGTTCTTAATGGAGAGAGGTAAAGGCATTCCCTTTAAGAACAGGAACAAGGCAAGGATGCCCACTATCACCTCTCTTATTCAATATTGTTTTGGAAGTCTTAGCAATAGCAATAAGACAAGAGAAGGGAATAATTAAGACCTTTTATTCAATGAAGAATTAATATTTTCAGCTTTCTAGAAAAGTAATAAAGCTATTCCAGTTTTTGGGTATGATTTTACTTTTATTATTTAAATGCATTTAGAAATTGGTACATTTTAACAGGAAACAAATAGGTTATGCCAATAATGCTAATTTTATTGAGATAACTAATATCAAAATATTGTATCATTTTTCTGAAATTTCTTATCATTAAAAAATTACTGAAATATATAATGTATAATTTGTTACTCTCATGAGAAAAAATGAATTTTCTTTTGTTTCACTTAGGTATGGAGAAAATGATAAATTGCCAGAATACATCAAGCAGAAATTACAGTGTTTGTCTTCCATTCTTTTAATGTTTTCTAATTCAACTCCTAGTTTTCGTTGATTAAAACTCCTATAAGACATAAGTTTAATAAATAACTTTGTTGGCTTTCAAGTAAAGTGACTTTTTATTTAATAACTTCTTCAGAAAGCCTTTCTACTAAAGAGAATTTTTATCTGTACTCTACAAATGTATTTGAAACAGGAAGTGAAACCTGAATCACTTTAAAAATGTGTAGTGGTCACAGAATAGAATAGACTGGAAACCTAACTTTTTTCTTAAAACATTCCCCTAAGCTTATTATGTTCATATGTTTGTATTAGACAATCTTTAAATGCAAAAATAATAGTGTGTGCTATATTTGTGGTTTTTATTTTCTATGCTTGTCAGACATGTTAAAGATCATGGACAAAACATGCTGGAGTTTTAGAACATGTAAATAATGTATATTTATGTTATAAGTAATAACATATGTAAAAATGTATATATGTTTTATATTTATTTTTGTAGCATCCATTTCTAATGAAATATTTCTGCAAATACATTTTATAAAAAATAAATGCAGTCATAAGATACTTCATCTTTTGATTTATTTAATTCCTTTTTAAAATAAGTGACTAATAAACTTATTTTTTTGTCTTTTACTGCCTGTGTATATCAGAGGAGCAGGTAAATTTTTAAAATTACTTTGTAAATACATTATATTTCTACTCTTATCAGAAAAATATGTATTTAATAGCTTATACCTTTTAACCATGAAGAACTTAACAATGCAATTGGCTACTATAACAAAAAATAATAGTAGAACAGACATTTCTAATTTTAAAAACTAAGCAGAATACATGATCATGAAATTCAGATGGCATTGATTCAAGATCATATCTTGGTTCCTGCAAACTTATTTTCTTGAGCTTCAATTTGAACTTTCATATGAGTAATTGATGATCTGATGATCCACAGTCTGCCTCTGGCCTAACTTTTAGGGCTGATATTGAGCTGCTCCAACGATTTCTTCCACAAATATAGTCAGTCTGATTCCTATGCTGCCCATCAGGTGAAATCCATGTGTAAAGTCATTTTTTGTCTTTTAGAAAACGTCTTTTCAATGAATAGATCATTGTAAATATAAAATTCATTCATTCTATCTCCACCCTCAATTCTATCACCAAGCCTGTATTTTCTAACCACTGTTCCTTCTTCATTGTTTCCTAATTTTGCATTCATTAATGAATCCTGATTGCATGTTTGGTCAATTTCAGACTGCAAAATTTGATAAAAATTATCAATTTCTCCCTGTGTAGGAGCATATATTTGAATAATAGCATGTATATAGAAGCATGTATTTGAATAATAGTTGTGTTAATGGTCTTCCTTGTATGCATATGGATATTATCCTATCACTCATCACATTGTATTTCAGGATAAAACCTAAAATAGACTTTTCGACTGTGAATGCAACACCATTCTTCCTATGTTTTTCTTTGCATGCATAGTACACCATATGTTTATCTGATTCAAAGTGGCCATAGATGGTCCATCACATCTCACTAATATCTAGTCTGTTGATATTCATGCATTCCATTTCATTTTTAACAATTTCCAGTTTTCCAGCATTCAAGCTACATACATTCTGTGTACCGGTTTTGTTAAGTAATGTTTATTATTGATTTTTCCTCACTTCAACTGACTTCCAATCTGGGCTCTACCACCACATTACAATAACTGTCCTTTTTGTTTAGTGTTCATAAGGTTACAAAAGCCATTTATTTAGGAAGTAGGTGGCCATCCTGCTTCCTAGTCTGTCTTAATCTGGGAACTCCACCAGAACCTGTCCTCTGTGGGAAACCCTTTTGGAATTTGACACACTGGTGGCAAAGATTTCAAGTATCACAGCAACCCCAAGTAATCTCAGTACAGTAAACTGACAAGTGCTGTACCACTTACAACAACATTCTCTCCAAACACATTTGATTACTAATACAGTTGTTGTTGTTGTTGTTCAGTGCCTTCGAGTCGCAGGCAACCCTGTGAAGGAGAGTCCTCGACGCTTGGTTGCCTTTCATCTTCTCTCCAGATTCATAGGGTTTCCAGAGGCAAGCTATTATGGAAGTGGATGCCACTCCTCCTTCCAAGCTTGTTTTAATCGGGGAGCTCCACCCCACCCTCTGTCCGCATTGGGTAGCCAGTCATTAACCCATTTGACACACCAGCGTCACAGTGTTCAGCCTCACAGCAACCAAAAGTGAACACAGAAACACCCAAATATTTTAACCCCACCTTTCGTGTAAATCACAAACACCCACCAGGAACCAACTACGCCAAGCTAAAGGCTCAGTCACGGGTAGGCCATAGTCTTTCCAATTACTAGCTGTGCATCCAAGACCTGGACAATAAATAAGGAAGACAAAAAGAACTGATGCTTTTCAGCTGTTTTGTTGGAGAAGAGCACTGAACATCCCATGGACAAACATGTCTTAGAGAAGGTGCAGCCAGAGTACTCTTTGGAGGCAAGAATGATGAGTCTTTGCATTATCTGCTTTGGACATTTTGCTAGGAGGTGCTATTCTTTGGAGAATGACATGTTGTTGGGGAGGGTGGACATGATGTTGGCGAAGGAGAGGAAGACCCCCAACCAGGTGGATTGACACAGTGTCTGCTGCAGTGGAATCTTGTATGTCAAGAAGTGTGAGGATGGTATAGGACAGAACTGGGTCAGATCTTTTGTTCATAGGGTTGCTATGAGTTGTACTTGATGGCACCTAACAAAAACAAGAAGAATAGAAATAGAATGAGTTAAACCTTTTATACTTTAATCTTTTGAAATATTGATGTTATTCTGTTGTTATTGTTAGGTGCCCTCAAGTTGAGTACAACTAATAGCCACTCTATGAACAACAGATCTGAACCCTGTCCTATCCTATGCAATCCTCACAGTGTCTGACACTCTTGAGCCTATTTCTGCTGTTACTGTGTCAATATGCCTGGTTGAAAGGCTTCATCCCTTTAGCCATCTCTCCACCTTCCCAAGCATAATCTCCCTCTCCAATCAATAACCTTTTCTAGCAACATGCCTAAAATATGTGAGACAAATGATACTGGGGTTTTTTTCCATTAAGGAGACAGAAATAGTCATATTTATTCAACAGTAATTGAGGAATTGATACCAAAGAATGCAGATGCAATGAGGGGATAGTCTGACTTCTATCCAATTCATAAACTGGAACTTTCCCCATCAGTAATATCCATAGTACTATACAGATGCATACATGGTCAGATGCCACTTCACATGCTCCTACACCTCTTTCTACGAATCATTGGTTCCAATGTATGTTGCAAGACTCACAGTTTACTCACAGTGGGGTTTTATTAGGGAAATAGGTTGGAGAGTGGAGGAAGCAATATCTCACACTGCAAATCCAGGAGTCAAACCAGATTAACAAACCGCAATTACTCAGTGAAAATCCAGGTTAATTTCAACTGCAGAAATGCAAGAAGCCTCTGATTTCCTCAGTCATTCAGCAAAGTTTATCACTGAACAGATAACTTTTTCTTCAATGATCTAGCCAAGAATCTTTACACTCTGACCTTTATCTCAGAGGGCTTTTCTTAAATCCAGCAAAACCAAAATCTTTAACTGTGGCTTTTATCTCCAGAGTTCTTGTGATTATACCTTGCCACAGACTCTTCACAAAAGTACCAGTCTCTTCACCCTCTCTCCGCTATCATCGTCACACTTTGTCACAGTGTAGAAAGCACTCACTTATATTGGTCTCATAGCTGTTGATATGCAAGACCATGTGTCTGCAGTTAAGGTAGTTGAAAATCATTACACCTCAACAGAGGCTAATGACAGTGGCTAGAAAACCTAGTTTTTTAAAGAGTTCTGACACCCCAAGCAATGAAAAAAAAATGTATAACATTTTAGGTTTTTGCGTTGTCTTTTGTTTTCCTGGGGTCCAGTGGATCCAACTGACACAGGAGGAGATTGCCCCTCCTCCAGTGGAGCATCTGGTGGATTCAAACCACTGACTTTCAGGATTGCAGTGCAGCTTCTTGCCACTAGGCCACCAAAGCTCCCTTGTATTTGTAACATTTTTAAAAGTTGAACAACCCAATAGGAAAATGGACAAAAGATAAGAATTCACAAAGGGGAAAATCCAAGTTCAAGTTTATTCCTAGTTGGAGAAATGTAAAATTTAAACTTGCTGTTATTAAAGAGGTTAAAAATAATAATAATAGTGCCTACAAAAAATGCAGAACATTCTCAGATACTGTTGATTAAAGTGTTAATGGTAATAAACTAATAGCATCTGTTGAGTAACACATTTTAACAAAGTCCACCTTTGGTGTCCCCGGGGTATTGGGAGTAGTTAACATAATTAGCTGATAGGCTCTCATAGTTACTGGTTCAAATCCACCTAGAGGTGCCTGTGAACAAAGGCCTGGAAACACCTCTGAAAAATCAGCCATTAGCTTTCTCAAAAAGTTGCAAATAAAGATACCATTTGACCCAGCAATTCCACTACTGGGAATATACCCTAAAGAGACCATAAATGACATCCAAGTAGATATATGTATACCCATGTTTATCGCGGCTTTGTTTACAATAGCAAGGAGTTGGAAACAACCTAAATGCCCATCAACAATGTCATTGCTCTTCAGTACTCTGGAGAGGTCTCTGATAACCGACTTTCTCAAAGCAATTTGTCTTTTGGTTTCCTGGCTACTGGTACCAAGAATGTTGATTGTAGAGCCAAGCAAACTGAAGCTGTTAAAAATCTCAATCTCTTCACCATTTATCATGATGCTGCTAATCATCCCAGTGGCGAGAATCTTTGTTTTCTTGATGTTGAGCTTCAATCCATAGTTAGTGTTCAAGGCCTCAAACCTGTTCCTGAGATGATTCTGAAATTCAGGTGGGATGAGATTGAAGTCATATTTTGGCTCCTGTGGATTCAGTTTAATTTTCCTCAGCTTCTGGAGAAGCTCAATATCAGCTGTAAAACTACGTCCCAGGAATTAATAGAATACCAATTGACATATTTCAGCAAACAAATACTGCC